GTGCTCTATGGCTGTTCGCCACTGTGGCATCCGCTTGTATGCGATTGAGTTTCTGATCAATATCGCCACACCGCCGGCGCGGCGGCCGACTCTGTCAGAGCGTTCGACGGAGTAGTTTTCCACAACGAGACGATCTTCATTCCCCAGCCATGTTTCCACGACTACGGCGATGTCGATCCTCTCGTGACGGAGGAAGTGCATTAGCTCACCTAATTTGCCATTGAGGCTATTAGCGTTCCAATGGACGATTTTGAACATTGCTTATTGAAAACTTTTTTAGATCTATAGCGAAGAACTGGAGGCTGGTGTTGAACAACTCCGCGTCATCATTGCATTGCTCGAGCATGCCAATGTAGTGATCTAGGGCGCGCATCATACCATCCATATTCACCAAAAACTCTAGGCGGGCAAACTTGGTTTAAAACGCCGAAAATGTATCACCTAAATTGGCAGGGGCTTGACGGTCGGGGCGTAGCACAGGCTCGCGATCGCGCACTGTGTTCGCGGCATCCCGCACTCCGCTTTCGCACACTAGTCCCCGAGGGAAATTAATGTCATAATTTGCGGCCTGTAGCTGTTGTTGTGGCCGCTGAAGTGGTAGTTCTCTGGAGAGCTGGAACTGGACCTGAGGCGGTTGCCTGGAGTGCCGCGCCTGAACCGCTCTTCGGTCCCAGGCTGATGTTTGGGCCTCGGGGCAGGAACATACGTAAGTCTGGGGGCGTTTCTGGCGTTGAGCATTTGCTTTAGATATTTGTACACCGGGCAATTGGTGGACATTGCCCGGTGTGCTCCATTGCAATTGGCGCACACCGACTGCTTATCTCTGTTTGTGCAGTCGGCTGTCATGTGCGCCTCTGCACATTTAGAGCATTTGCTCGCTCTGTGACAACCAGTCATAGTGTGCCCCCAGGCTTGTCACCTTATACACTGAGAGATGTCTTTACGGTTTCGTCGCTCTTCCCACTGTACCCGTGAAGCGAAGACTGTCTTAACTGTGGCTAACAGTTTCGCTACAGTCCAATCTGTGTTTGTAATCACTAGGTACAGAGGATTGTCCTGCCCCGTGTTTTTCATGGGATACACCTCTTTAACCCGCATGTTATATCTGTCAGTTAGATACTCATTCAGCTCAGTCGGTGCGTAATTGCCCCGCATTCCACGCATGACGAATGCGTGCGTCTTTTCTGTGGGCATCTGGTACGTGTGGTATCCCGCACCGTCCTGAGCTAAGTGTCTTGACATACTTTGGTGGTCTTGCATGTTCTTGGTGTAGAGAATTAAAGAGTTCCTGGCATATTTGATCTCTACCTGCTCTGTTGTTATTGTAGAGGCCATGCGCAGGAACTCTTTGTGGTTGCCCAGTTTTCCTCTTACCGCTATTGGCGGTGGGAGGGCTTTTTTGCCGGTGGCTTTGGGAGTGGGGGTGGGTATGGTTTCCACTACTTTGGCCCTTATTTCTTCTTGGGACCTATTGGGTTTTTCTGTTTCCGGCTCTGGCTCGCTTTCTTTGTTTTCCAGGACCAGGAATCTGTTATTCGTGGGGATTTGGAACAGATTTCCAAATCCTGTGGCCCTGATTATTTGCGGGTTGGATGTGTCCATGAGCGGCGATGTTGCCCTTGAGGATGTGGCTGAGGGTTGATTTTGTTGGTTTGGTTTTGGCTTGATGGTGAGTTTTTTGAGAGCTCCAGTATTACTCTCTGGGCTGTCTTTCATTGGCCGTTTGGTGGCCTTAGTTTTAGCCTTGACGGTGAGGGGGTGGGATCGTCGTATGTGGTTAATTGTAATTTCCACTATGTCTTTTACCTCCTCCTTGGAGTGGGATTGGAAGACTAGTAGATTTTTTGCGCAGTCTTGGCATGAGGTTGCGTGTGATTTCAATCTATTAGTTACTTTGGCCACACTTCGTCTGGTGGGGTTGTTGGAGGCCAAAGAGTTGGTAGATGAAAAACTCTGTACATTCTCACTGTCAGAGTCTTCATTCCTGTCCATTTTGGGATCCCCTCCTGGGGTATCCTTCGTAGTTTGGGTCACCCCCTCACTTATTGTGATTGGTACCCTTACTTATTTCGGCGTCCCCTAGTTATGGGACGCTCCCTGACATATGATAGAAGCGTTGCCCTCACTTTTATTAGTGGCTTCACTTCTTTGCAAAGTACCTCACTTTTCGTGGGAGAGATAGTGAAGTCGATTTTGGCGACGTCCCCTCACTTTTGGGACGTCTCTTTATTTCGGTGGTGCACTCACTTTTTTATAAGTCAATGGTTTTTTGGTCGTAACATTAGTTGTTTTGACGTCCCCTAACTTGGGAGACGTGTCCTAACTTTTTTGGAACGTGCCCTAACTTTTGATTTTTGTTGCTAAATCAAGCTAAGTCCACGTTCCCTGACTTATTAAATTTTTACCGATTTTTGCTAAGTTGCTGGTGCCCTGACTTTTCCGGCTTGCTAATAGTTGAGTGGTGCCCCAACTTTTGAGATTTGAAATTTTTGGCGAAATTTGCTAAGTCCAAAAATTCGGTTTTTTGGTGGTTCCCTTACTTTTATAGTTGGGTGATGTGTGAAATTTTACAAGTCCACGTGCCCTGACTTGGTTTTGAGTGTTTATGGTTTGGACGTGTTTTAATGGTTTGTTGGTGCCCCAACTTTTGGTGATAGTGAGGTTGATGCTGGTACGGGTGTACCCTCACTTTTCCTGCCGATGGGGCGAAAGCCCCGAGAAAACTGGGTAGCTGTGCTAACTCAGCACTTACCCGGCGGACGTTTTGGACGTGAAAACGTTGAAAATCTGGACACATTCAACTTGAATGTGTCGAGGTATAAAAAACTGTATACACACTTGGAATGCAATAAAAAAGTTTGTTTGCTTTATAAGCGTACGCGACCGCACAGGACGAGAACTGGCAGGTCAACCCGTAACTGGTGAGGTGGGGTTTCTCAAATCCCACAGATTTTAAGAATCTTTACCACTCATTACCTAATGGTTGGAGGCCTGCTACCACCTGTGCAGCTTTCAGTCCGTTGTCCGTCAATACCCTAACGATGTCAACAACGCGCGATGTTTTACTTGGTGTGCGATATTATGATTTTTGTAAAAATTGGGGTTTGCGTAACCCCACCTCACTGTGAGTCGTTTGGGTTAGTTTGGGTTAATTGCTCTCTAAAAAGTTCACTTGAAATACAATTTTGTTAAAGCTTTGTTCCTTGAATATTTTTCAAGGATTTTCAGACACTTTTCCGTCATTTTGTATTTTTTATGCTACATTTTCAGTTTGATTACTTCCAGCAATTGGAAATAAGTTTGTATGTGTGTTTTGTGCAGTCCCACAGTAAAACTGAATTATTCCTGAAATATATTTTTTTCTTTTTGTTGAAAGTATGTACCTACGCGTTCCAAAAGGACAAATGTTACCCAAAAGTCGATAACATACACGTTTTTTTATTTTGAATTAGCTGAATCGCCTTTTTGATTTGGGGTTTGCGTAACCCCACCTCACTGTGAGTCGTTTGGGTTAGTTTGGGTTAATTGCTTTCTAAAAAGTTCACTTGAAATACAATTTTGTTAAAGCTTTGTTCCTTGAATATTTTTCAAGGATTTTTAGACACTTTTCCGTCATTTTGTATTTTTTATGCTACATTTTCAGTTTGATTCCTTCCAGCAATTGGAAATAAGTTTGGATGTGTGTTTTGTGCAGTCCCACAGTAAAATTGGATTATTCCTAAAATATTTCTTTTCTTTTTGTTGAAAGTATGTACCTACGCGTTCCAAAAGGACGAATGTTAACCAAAAGTCGATAACATACACATTTTTTTATTTTGAATTAGCAGAATCGCCTTTTTGATTTGGGGTTTAGCAAACCCCACCTCACCGGTTATGTAACAAAAAAATGACCTCACCAGGTACGGGTTGAGAGGGTACCTATTATTTTATATATGATAGTTCTACCAAAAAAATTAAAATAAAATAAAATAAGTTAGTTATCTTTTAGCTTTTTTTTTCCTATTTAATTTTATTTCTTATTTTATTTCATTTGTTGGATAAACCCACCATTAATTTATTCGTTTTTGTGAATTGTGGTCTTTGTGGATTTTTTTGTGACTGACGAGGCTGGGAACCTTATCTTGGATGAAAACCTTCAGGTGGTTTTAGTGGCAAGTAGATGAATTTACTACTTATGTCTTTTTGCATCTTCAATTGCTCTAGTTGCAAATGGTGAACAAATTTCCAAATTTTGTACACCACCTAGACCTAGAATATGGGGGGCCGAAATCCGACCGACCTGGACCTGAAATATAGATTTTTTCAGTTGGGAATTGACAAAACCTATAATATAGTTCCTGTTTAGTTATAAAATATAGGTCCTGCCAAGTATCCAGATATGTATCAAAATTATTGAGACTTACCTTTTTTTTTTAGATGGAACCCGAAAATAATCAGCGAAGTATTTGGGGTTCAGTTTGAAAAGAGTGTAAGTGAAAAAAAAATATTTCAAAATACATAGGAAGCACATAATTCAGTTCATACTCGAGTTCATAGTAACATTAGTTACATATAAAACTTGGATCTTAACTCTTCTAAATTCGTACCTTTTTCAAATCCGATCTGTAGATAAAAAAAAATAGTAGTGGCACACTATGCATCTTATTTTCACATTTCAATGTTTTGCGGTACAGGAAGTTATCACTACTATAAAAATTGAGTATTCATTTTGTTCCAATATTTATTAAAAAATTATTTAGGGCTTCTCGAGGGTCTTCTGTTATGACCACTGAAGGATCTTTGTTTATTGTTTAAGGTTTCTGAAGATCAAGAGGAAAATAATGCCTCACTGGGGGCACGTTCAGATTCAAGAGTCTGGAGATGTGTCGAGTCTAGTGACTCCAAAAGAAAACTCTCAAGCCAATTGGAGCCGTGAGAATATTTTGAAACTAATTGAGCTGTTTAAAAAAAAAATCAGGATTTATTTAAAAACACATCTGTGGGGAACGATAAGGTCTGGGGCATAGTTGCCAAAAATCTTAACTATGATTGACTATACTTTGGATCAGTGTAAAAATAAGTTCAAATACCTAAAGGCAAAATACGTAAAAGTTAAGAATAGCATGTCCGACAGAAATACGGGGGGCAAAAAAATTACGTTCGATTACTTCGATGAATTTGAAGAAATGTTTGGCAAAGATTCTAACATTGAGCCTGTGGCGATAGCTAGTTGCAGCGGACTATACAAAAAGCAAGCCCCTGATGAACAAAAAAAAAACACTCATGCTCATCAATTTGAAACGGCAACAGCGGAGAGTACCCCAAAAAAACAAAAATCATCACCTGTTCACAAAAAAAAAGTTAAAAAAAACATTATTCGCAAATGAATTGAAAATGGTCAACAAATAGCATGGAAGTTTTGCAGTCGATCCCAGAAAAAATGAGAGATCAGAGTATGATGGAGATAGCTGAGGATCAGACAAAAAATTCACTTGGCATTTATTGGGCACCTCGTGACGATACGTTTCATTTTATGGTAGGTAGATTAGTCACGGAGATAACAAAGAGAAGGATTCTATCCGAATTATCGAGGCTATTTGATCCACTTGGGTGGATTGCCCTGATAACCAATAAAGGCGAAGCTTCTAATACAAGATATATGGCTACAAAAGTTAGGCTGGGATGATGAGCTGCTACCAGAAAATATTCAGTTGAAGTGGAAGACATTTCAAGAAAAATTGAAAAACGTAGACAAAATCGTGATGCCACGATGGACTAACCAAATTCCTGGGAGCCACTATGAATTATATGAATTCTGTGATGCATCTGAAAAAGCATATGGCGCAGTGGCATATATGAAAATACTGGCAATTAAGGTTTAAAGTCAACCCCCATTTTCTGAACCTTGTGTTCAAAAATTCCAAAAAAAATATATGTTTTATGGTTATTGATATACTTTAATCCATAATTTTTTTAAGCAAATTTGACTCGCCATTTTTGAGTTATATCGCAAAAACTGAAAAAAAAAGTGGTTTTTCACCATTTATTTCAAAACGAATAGATGAAGTTTCCCGTTATTTTTATTACGAACTACTATTGCAATTCTAGGCGACATATATTTTTTTCAAATTTTTTGAACTTGTAGTTTTCTCGCTACTGCAAGAATAGTTGGAAATACGCCTGTAGCTACACTATTTAAAAAAAAATCCGACGGATGAACGTTCAAAATTATTTGTGTTAGTCCAAACTACAACCCTGTTTATGTAAAACAGAGTAATACTTCGAATTTCCGCAAAAAAAAAACTTTCCATCACACAATTTAATCAAATGCAGATTTCTATTTTTTTTTTTCGACTATCAAGTTAGGGCACACTATAGGGGCGACAGTACTGATATCTCGCTTTGCTGTAATAAACTGTAGGCCTGGCTTTACACCTTAATACAGAGGATGTTAAAATTACGTTATCAACTGCCAAATGAAAAGTAGCCCTCGGCAAAGATGAGAGCCACTCTTCCAATACTAGAGCTATGTTCAGCACTGCTACTAGCAAAACTATTGAGAACAGTCGCGATTCTATCATCTGATAAAACGAATATTCATACATGATTGTCTTAGCATGGATAAAGAGTACGAAAAAATGGAAGACCTTTGTAGCTAACAGAGTAGCTCAAATCAATGATCTTATAGCAGAAGACTGCTGGAGGCAGATCTGAACACAACCCAGCAGATATCGTCTCAAGAAGGATAGATCCGTCTAAACTAATAAGTCAAATGATGTGCTGGGAAGGTCCACCATGGCTAACTAATAAGGGTAATTTGCAAGCGTTTTATCCAATACTGCAAAACCACGGTAAAGAAAACCGAACGTCTATCGGTAAAGGAATTGCAAGTTGCACTAGAAGCTATTGTCAAAATCGAACAGCAAATATATTTCGCCAATGAAACCCAAGCACTACAAGAAAAGTCAGCTATAAGTAAAAACAGCAAAATCTTAAACTTGAATCCATTCCTAGACGGTAAAAGAATTTTGCGAGTCGGGGGAAGACTTGAGAAATCTGAGGTGCCATATGAGACGAAACGTCCCATAATTTTACCTTACGCTTACAAAATTAATTATTCTAAATGCTCATCACAACACTCTCCATGGAGGAAATCAGTTAACATTAACTAACAGGCGGAAACAGTATTGGATCATCAATGGGAAGCGAGCAGTAAAAACTATGATTAGTAAATGTGTAAAATGCATCCATTTTAGAGCTGAAACAGCGAAACAACTAATGGGAAATCTTCCAGCAGCCAGAGTCTCTCCATCATACCCATTTCACAGGGGTAGACTACGCCGGTCCAATACAAATTGAAACTAAAGGAAGAGGCCACAAATCATACAAAGGGTATGTGGCAATATTCGTGTGCCTTGCCACTGAAGCTATACATATTGAAGTTGTGAGCCATATGTCGGCAGACACATTCCTAGCCGCGTTCATATGTTTCACCGCAAGAAGAGGCTGCTGCGCGCACAAATATAGCGATAATGGTACAAACTTTGTCGGAGCAAGCAAAACATTACAAAAAGAAGGTATGCAGATAGTAAAAATATCCAATATTGAAGATAGTCTCTATTGGAACCCAGTGGCATTTCATCCCACCAGCAGCTCCCCATTTTGGAGGACTTTGGGAAGTAGGGGTAAAATCAATGAAATACCACCTGAGGAGAGTGATTAGAGCAACTTGCCTCACTTATGGAGAGTTATCCACACTCATGCACCAGATAGAAGCTTGCCTTATTAATTCACGACCCCTGTGTCCACTAAACGATGATCCCACTGACATAACACCTCTGACGCCAGGGCACTTTTTGGTGGGAAGGGCACTTGTGGAACCACCAGACCCAGTTAGGACAGCCATCAATTCTAATCTAACTGAAAGATGGAAATTAGTACAAAAAATTAAGACCTATATATGGAAAAAATGGTCGTCAGATTACTTGCACCAACTTCAACAACGATACAAATGGAAAAACATTAAAAAATCGCTTGAAATCGGACAGCTAGTCTTGATAAAAAATTAGGATATGAACCCTAGCAAATGTCCTCTGGCAAAAATAATCAAAACACACCCATCAGAAGATAACACAATAAGAGTAGTAACCATTAAGAAGGCTGATGGAAGTTCAATGAAGCGACCAGTCCATAAACTCATTCCAATATACACAGAACAAGAGAAGGTGCAAAGCAATTCGAATCCGGTGTTTAACCGTTTTTTTTTATTGCGTTATATTAATTTACGTCAATTTTTAGAAAACCCGTGTTTTTTCATTTTGTTCAAAAGTTATCACTTACTTTAAAAAATATATATTAAAATTCCTAATTTGAATTTCACTGTAAAGGAGCGCCTGACGTAGTACCACACAATTCCACGAGATGGCGCACTATCTTTTATAAAGTGTACAGTTTACTGTGGCATTTAGCATCTGTTCAGTCACTGTAAATCACGTCATTGTCAAGTCAGCTTGTTGCTTGTTTATATTTCATTTCATTTTTAACACGCTTATATCAGCTTCACCTGTATGTATGTTTGTTTGTTTGTTTGTTTGTTTGTAAGTAACTCTCCTTTGGACTAAAAGCAAGTGGCTTATAAGGCTGCGAACTTTTGGACTCTTGGGAAGTGTATGAACAAAAACCTAAAACAAGCCAAGTGAGCTGTAACAAGTCGGGCAAGTGTTTGGAAGAAGTTCAGAGAGGTCAGGTGATCATACAAATGTAAATAATAACAGTTAATTTTGTAGCTAAATACTGAGATAGTTTCATAAATAATATGAAACAACATTTGTCCGACAAAATAAATGGTTTGATCTAGGCTGTCTCCCTTCTTAAACATGTAGCAGATACGTTACATAAAAAATAATTAATAACCAGTTGATTTTTTTAATGTAGCTTGGCAACATGGCTTGTCAAGTTAAAAAGCACGAAAATGTGCTCCGTGAAAAAACAAGTTATTTTTGTTGTAAAACCAAGAAATGTAGTACAGTGATGTGTGTAAACTGTGGAAAAACCTTTCACCTGGCCTGTGCGACCCGAAAACGCGTCAGAAAACCGCGAAAAAAGCAAGCTACGGGACAAACTAGTGGCAGAGCTGCAATCAAAAAACCAATTACTAATGGAAAACAAGATTTTACTGGAAGAAAAAATCAAAATCCTCCAGGAAAAGCTACGTAAGGAAAATCGCAGGAAAAAGCCAGGGAAAAACCGGCCACGAACACCAGTCGCATTCCTGCAAGAGTGGGAAGTTTCCAAAGCGCCGACAACACTGCAAAGTGACGCCAATGACAGTGACACGGAGAACAGCAGGAGCATGGTTTTGCAAGAACCACGTGACAGCAACAAAAGCAAAACTTCAGACGAAAGACAAGAGGTAGAACCGGCAACATCGCAAGTCGAGGATGACAATAAAGAAAAGTCGGAACATGCCCTCGAGCGACAGGCGTCAAATTTACATACGTCAACAACAAAATCAGCTGATCAAAATTGCCTGGTAGAAAAATCCCAAAAAAATCTCCAAGCAGAGGAAGAAAATACACAAAATTCTCCTGAAAGTAACGAGAACGCCTTCCAAATAGTTACCTATAAGAAAAGGGCAAGCAAAATCCCCAGACAAGAAGAAACCCAGCGACCCAGTCCGATACTTGGGAGCAAGCTGAAGTGCCCTCTGCAAGCATCACAACGAGGAACATGCCTGTTTATATCCGGTCTAGAACCAAACACCAGTCCAGAAGATGTCAAAAAATACATTGAAGAAACCACAAAGGTAACCATACTAGTAACAAAAATGAAAACAAAAACTGAAAAAATAAAAAGCAGTTTTAAGCTGGAAATCCCATCACACATCAAAGATCAAGTCATGTCACCAGAAATGTGGCCCAAAGGGACCTTTGTAAATTTTTTTCTGAGACTCCGACAGAGCCCAATACGGGCAAACAAAAACTAAAACATCAATCAACAGGAAATGGTCTGAATATTTTTCACATGAATATTCAGAGTATCCGAAATAAAACACTCGAACTAGAAGTAGTCCTGAAAACACTGGACACTGAGCATCAAATTGTCTGCCTATCAGAAACATGGCTCCAACCAGGTGAAGAAGCATTTGTCAAGCTTGAGGGCTACACCCTGCTAGCATCATTTTCACGCTCTAAAATTCAACATGGTGGTGTATGCATCCTGGTCGGAGATGGAGAGGAAAACTTTATGGAATTGGATGACTTCAAAGAATTTTGTATCGAGGGGCAAATAGAACTCTGTGCTTTAATAAATAAAATTGATAAAATTCTAATTTTCTGTATTTATAGGTCCTGTAAGGGGAGTTGTGAACTCTTCCTAGAGGTCTTCGAGAGGCTGTGCAGAGAGGTCAGGGTGCGCTTCCTGAATTACAAAGTCTTGTGGGCGGGAGATTTTAACATCAACTTGTCACCGACAGTGAGTAACAATAATGACAAAAATAAACTGTTGGATCTTATACACTCTTATAACTATGAACAGACCATATTTGACATTACAAGACCACCAAAGGACAAAAACAGTGAAAAGACATCTTGCATTGATAATTTTTTTCCAAACTTTGGTGATTATGAAAACAGTGTGGTCATCCAGACTGTTGTGAGTGATCATTATGCCCAATCAATAAGATTACCACTAGATAATTCTGAAATAAACAAAAATAAAGAAAAAATTAAAGCGGTTAGGGTTTTTTCTAGAAATAACACTGAAAGATTCTGTGAGGAAATACAGAGCTGCGACTGGGGTAGCATCTATCGGGAGCCAGATGTGGACAGGGCCTTTAATCGATTTGAGCACATATTTCTACAGAAAGTAAATCTAATTTTTCCAGTAAAAAAAATGAAGCAAAGAAACAAACCAACACACAATTGGATCACAGCTGGTATAAAGATATCTAGTAAAAATAAAAGAAGACTATTTCAAAATGTTAGAATTGGGGTAACAACTGTGGAGCACTACAAAAAATACTCAAATATACTCAAACAGGTAATAAAACAAGCAAAGAAGCTCAGCAACAAAAACTTTATACAAAATGCTGAAAACAAACAGCAGGCAACCTGGAGCTTAATTAAAAAAATAACTACCACAAAAACAATAAAAAAAGACTCAATTCTAAACCACTTTGAATATGAAAATGAGACTGAGTTCCTGAATGATGTGAATAACTTTTTTGTAAACATATGCCCTGATGTGATGTCAGAGAGCAGTAGTAGCCAGGCTGATAAATCTGACACTGTGTGTAAAAAGAATCTTGAACTCCGACCTTTGACAGCTCTAGAAACCTTGAAAATCATAAAAGATCTAAAAAATAAAAAATCTACCGGATATGATGAGATCCCTGTTAGCATTATAAAAGCTTGCGCAAATTCACTTGCAGAGCCATTAACATACCTGCTAAATCTATCGATGCAAAATGGCATCTTTCCTGCCAATCTTAAAATTGCACTGCTAAAACCAATCCACAAAAAGGGTACTCTAACTGATCTAAAAAACTACAGACCAATTTCCTTGTTATCCAACTTTAGTAAAATCTCTGAAAGATCAATTTATATAAGATTATTAAACTTTTTAGAAGAAAATGTCTTGTTGAGTGAAAAACAGAATGGTTTTCGAAGGAAAAGATCCACTATAAGAGCTATCTACACAGCAGTAAATCGAATTTTGGAATCACGAAACAAGAACAATGTCACCATGGCCGTCTGTCTGGACCTCTCAAAAGCTTTCGACAGTGTAGACCACGGCCTGCTCTGTCGAAAGCTTGAGAGGATCGGAGTACGAGACACACCTCTGAGACTGTTCGAGTCATATTTAAATCATAGAAAACAGGGTGTCTTGGCAGAAAATAGCCTAGGGGAGGTAAAAAAATCGAACTTTGCCTACATAAAAAGGGGCGTACCCCAGGGCTCAATACTGGGCCCACTGCTTTACTTAATATATACAAATGATGTTGCAAATATACTAGAAAATGAGGTGGTACTCTTTGCCGATGATACTTCTGTGCTCTGTTGTAACAAAACCAAAAACGAATGTGTCACAAATGTCCGGGAATCACTTGAAGGTCTTCAGAATTGGTTTACAAACAACAATCTTCAACTTAATGTGGCAAAAACACAAATTATAAGCTTCAATCTAAAACCTGAAGAAATAATGATTGACTACAATGACACTACAATTGCTACAAAGGGAAATGTTACCTTTCTTGAAGTGGTGCTGGATGAGAGGCTGGACTGGCGTGCACATATCGTCGCTTATCTGACAAATGGGCGTAAGCACCATAAACATCATTTGTGAGAAAAGCAATTTTAAAAAAATGTACCATATACATGGTTCCGTGTTTCTGTTATTTGAAAGGCAGTTCCAGTGATAATATTTTATATAGACAGATTAATAAACATACTTTTTCCAAGTACTATTCGAATTTAATAAATTTCAGGTGAACATGATAAAATATGATTTAGATGGACATACGTCCCTTCGTGGGATCTGAATATTATTATAGTCCAGGAGGTGGCGCCAAAAACATGCAAGAGTTTTCGCAAGGCGGATATTTTCAAAATAGGTCGTACTTTAGTGCTAGAATGCTAGTGTACAGTCAGCACTCACAGTTCCGGGACAGCTGGCTCTGGGACGCGGGCAAAGTTGTAACTTTAAGAAGCATCTAAACTGTTTTCTCAAAGCTCAAAATTTATAGAAATTTTGCACATTATCTGTTTGAAGGTCACAGATAACGTATGTAAATCGTCAGACGTCTAGTTCGTTGCAAAAAGGGGGTCAGACGTCCTCAAAGTTTTTATTTTATGGCATTTTCTTCAAATATATTTGTCAAATACCTGCAAAAATATATTTTGACAGGACACTTCTTTGATTTCTTGGTTGTACAGTTGCGTAAATATCTGCCAACGCATGTAGAAATTTCATTGGCAACCCTTTTACTTATAACTTCAGACCAAGAGAAGCACTACGACTACGATAAAACAATGCATTTTCGTTACTTATAGGTAACTGAAACTGAATAACTTGTTGCATGTGAAAAACAGCAGCAGCTATTAAATCTGGGTTGTTTTTGGACATTTCCTTAGCATCCTCCTTCTTTTTGCGCTGTGTTTTTCTCGGCGACATGTGCAGTGCATGCATCTTTGAAGCTCTAATTTTTTATGTGCATCAGCTTCCCTGTACGACGAAAAAAGACTGCATTGGTCCTTCCTGGAATGGTAGAAAGACAGGGGACAGATTCAGTGATTCAAATACTCTACGGTAAGTATGGTAGTTGCATTTTGGCTGCTCCAGGCTCTCTTCTTGGTACAAGTTAAACATTTTCTTCACGTTAAGTCGGGGTGTAAATATTCTTTTGAAGTCGATTTTCTACAAAAGTGCGACTCCATTTTTGGGAACTTTTGTATGTGCTGAGGATCTCATAACTTCGTCTTTTTGTCGAATTTCTATAACGCAATGCAACACGTTTATCGAACAAAACTCTGCCTTCCACCGTTCTCTTACTTATTGCCGTCCGAACTGCTTTTTCGGAAACTGCCAGTGTGTTCTGAAACGTAATTTCACAAACTGGTAAAGATCCTCTGCCTTTTGGTAAGCAATAAGCCAAAGTCCTTGTTCTACTGGACTCTGTTGCAGCAGTTTTTCTCCTGTAAACATCATTCTCATTGATATGGCGTTGGAGACTTGGTATTGTAGAAAGCATGAAATATTTTCTGGCGCTCTTGTTCTTCCTTAGTAAACAACTTGCAGCCCTCATTTTTACATTTTTGAGAATCACATCGCGGCTTCATGATTCTTTGCGGAACTTGCTTTTTCAAAAAGGGACTCACGTATGCTGTTCCTTCTGTTCTTAGGGTGCGTGCCATCTTTTTCATGTTTTTATTTATAACTACTGATAACTTACCTATACAAATACCACTGCAATAAAAGGCACACTCAAACTCTTAATATCTTCACTTTCAACAGAAAAATGTAGAAAACATTGCAGGGTAAATACCACAGGAAGCAACTGGAATGATTATGTATGAATTTATGCTACATGGTGCCGGCGTAAATCCGTTTTCGGGATATACGCCTCTTAGTAAGATCCTGCAGTTACTTTTGATGTCGCTTCCGCCCATACCAACCACGTTCTAATTGGGAAAATACTACTTATACAGATACGCCAGTTGGTCAGATCATAAATGTACTCCATGGCAATATTTTCATGGAATAATCTGTATTTTAGAAATATTGTCGCTTACGCCCATTTGTCAGAAAAGCGACGTTATTGACCAGCTTGCAACAAGCATGAGTAAATACTGTTACGCCCTAAGGGTTCTTAGAGACTCAGCAGGCTGCTCGGCAGCGCTAACAGCTTGCCAAGCTTACATCCAATCAAGGGTGAGATATGGTGTCATTTTTTGGGGTAGTGTCTCGGAGTCGCAAAGAATTCTGAAGCTTCAGAAAAGGTGCTTAACACGTTCGCTGCTGACGGCGTCGAAAGACGCCCTCCGCCTCTGTGCTGGGAGGCGGTGGGCGTCTTTCGACGTCTTCGACAGTCTGTCTTATAACGCTCCAGTAAATCGTCAGCCTTTGAGCGGGTGCGTTGCGCTTTGCTCAGCCTTTCGTACACGTATTGAAGAAGTGAAAAACAGTTGCCGTTGATTTTGCGATGTCTGATAGTGAGGCAGGGCCCTCAGGGGTGAAAAGGCCTAGATTGTGTAAGAAAAGTTGGAAACAAAGAATTCCTTTGAATGATAAAGAACTAGAAAGCTATTTGCTGGACTCGGATGATGATACTGGTGATCCAGACTATGAGGATTTAGATGTTGAGGCTGAGTATGGCAATTCTAGTGACAGTGATGACCAAGGTGATGAGGATGATTTGGATTTATCAGCCGTCCACGATAATATACCCGATGTTTTGGATAATAGTTTAAAATTAACAACAAATCCCAAACCCCAACCTAAAAAAAAAACACCTGGCCAGGCTCCTGTGGATGATGTCATATGGGATGCAGTGGGGGATTTTAAAAAATTGACATTTACAAAACAGAGGGAGCTAATAGTTCAACCTGACGGTAAATTTTAAATTTAAATTTTTTCTCTCTTATTAGGTATTCTTATCTTGTTTTAGGCAATGAACCAGGTGATTATTTTGATTTACTGTTTGATGACGATTTGCTTGAAATGATAATTCTGGAAACGAATAACTACGCAGAAGACGTTTTTCTTTCTGAGAATACACAAGAGAAATCTCGAATAACAAAGTGGGCAGAATTGACAAAGGAGGAATTGAAAATATTTGTTGGTCTTGTATTCCATATGGGCACTATTAGGCTAAATAGACTGCAGGATTACTGGAAAAAACATCGGCTTTTCAACCTTCCAGCATTTTCGAACTATATGAGTAGAGACCGTTTTATGCTAATTTTGAGATGTCTACATTTTAGCAGAAATCCGAAACCTGGAGATCCAAATCCAGCGGATCGGTTATTCAAAATAAGACCTGTTATAGATTATTTCAACTCTAAAATGAATCAAGTTTATTACCCAGGAAAAAATTTATCCCTGGATGAATCTATGGTACTATGGCGTGGCCGTTTGGTTTTCAGGCAATACATAAAAAATAAAAGACACAAATACGGCGTGAAATTATATTTGCTAACGGAGCCAGATGGAACTGTTCTGAAATTTTCAGTTTACACTGGTACTCTAGACGATTTTGGTGGTAAAGGACATGCTGCCAATGTAGTGCTCCACTTGATGGAAGAGAAACTAGATGTAGGGCACTCACTATACTTAGACAACTTCTACAATAGCTATGACCTCGCCTGCAAATTATTGTCTAGAAATACTTATTGTACTGGTACTCTTAGGGTAGATCGGAAACAAAATCCAGTTGAAGTGAAAACAGCCAAACTAAAAAAAGGAGAAACAGTTGCGCGCTACTCGAACGGAGTTATGATAGGTAAATGGCGAGACAACAGAGATGTATTTTAAATATCGACAGAATTTGGAAACAACTTGGCAAAATATTATAATAGGCGCCAACAAGAAAAAGAAAAGCCGGAAGCCATTTGCCAATACAATAAGTCCATGGGGGGTATAGATAAAAAAGACCAAATGATGTCGTACTATCCATGTGATAGAAAAACATTGAGATGGTATAAAAAAATTGGAATTTACATCTTTTACATGCTCCTAGTAAATTCTTTTTTTTTATTCAAAAAGTACGCACAACCACGAGTGACCTTGTACGATTATCGACTTCGTGTTCTTGAGTATTTACTTCCACAAAAACAAGGTCCTAACCCTAACCCTGCCGAAAGTCGCCGCAACACAAACCATGTTCCAGAAAAAAATCCTCAAACAGGAGGAAAGAAAAAACACGCCCATCGAAAGTGCACTAACTGCTGCAAGAAGAAGATTCGTAAAGAAACGGTTTATCATTGTCCATCCTGTCCTGGAAAGCCAGCCCTGTGTATTGAGCCGTGTTTCGCTGATTTTCATAGGAATATGTAGCTCTATCATTTTGATGAATTTCATATTGCATAATGTGTTGTATTTTGTTTTGTTTTGCAAGGCGTCTTTAGACGCCTACCCGCCCCTGGCATCTTTTTTTCTAGCGGGAGGCTGACGGCGTCTTAAGACGTCCCTGCCCTAAGGGCGTTTTTTTTTTGTTTTCTATTATATATATGCATTCTCCATTTTCCTGGTATCCAAACTGTGTATCATTTCCCAAATATTTATTTCAGTTTCTCGGGTTCGGTAGCCTCAAACCAGTCAGCAGCGAATGTGTTAAGGACAATTTATCAAAGAAAAAGTACGGAAAGTTGTAAAAATCTTTTTATTGAGAGTAGTGTGCAAACAATTTTTAATATCTACATCTTAGAGTGCATAAAATTTGTTTCAGAACACCCAGATATTTTTGACCAATTAAAAGCAGACCACCCCCATGATACTAGGTTTAAAGAAAACTTAAAAACAGAAACCGCTCAGTACTCATACATTGCAAAGAACGTTAAGCATAGCATTCTGAGGGTCTGGAATGCTATTCCCATTTCATTTCGAAGGCAACCGCCACAGAATATCAAAAGAGAAATTAAAACATTCCTAAACTCAAAAGCTTACTACAGATGAGTTTTTCACTGATCCACAAATTGACAACTTGGTAAAGTAAAGTTTCTTTATGCACGAGCGGGCGGTAAGTACTACTTACCGACCGCGTTTGCGGGCGGTAAGTTGAACTTACCGCCAGCTATTTTCGTGTCATCAAACACTCTCGAATATTGGTGGAGGCCACTAGTTCAATTTAATCCGTGTTGTCAACTATGGAAATAGAAATAAAACAAGAATTATAATTTATTATGCACCTCAACAACTATAGTACATAGGTTTAATATTAATAGAATTTAAATATTATTATTTTTTGTTAACATACAAATTAAATATACAGTTATGTGAATTATCTATCACAACACCTCCTTTTCTTATGTGCTTATCAAGAACAACCGTATTTTCTGTATCATTTATCAGAGAAACAGGATGAGGTTCATCGTTTAGTTGTCTGGATGTTGTTTGGATCGAAGTCTTACCACTTGTTGAAGGAGTTTGGTGTAAAATTTGGTCTGCGAATTTCAATTTGCTCTCTATGGAGTCCTCGATATAACCCTCGGCAACCGTCGAGGATTTCCAACCTCCATGTCTTTTGAGAGCTAATACTTCTACGCCGCTATTTGCAAGAAGCGTCGCAGAAGTTCTGCGAAAAGCATGTCCAGTGTATTGAGAAGGATTTTGCAAATTTAAAAATGTGGCAATTTGTGCTGGCCATTTTCCTATGGTATTCTTTCCTACAACTTGATTAGTGCAAAAGCCGTTTCGAATTTTTAAGAATAACTTGTTTGATTTTGCGGTTTTTTGTCGTAGTTCGATATATTTCCTACAAATCTCCAAATAATCCACTCGCTGGTCTTCTTTACCAGTGATGGTGAAACTCCTTTGAATATTGGTTTTTGTATTGGGTATTTTAACAAAAATGAACGTTTCCTGATTATCTATGTCTTGTAAAGTCAAATTACATAATTCCTCCCTTCTGCATGCTCCAGCTACACCAAATATCATGTCTATCTACGAAAAAACAACAAATTAATTCTTTGCATTGTTAAAAACACAGGTAAATTAACTCACTTTCAAAATCAAGTATCTATCATCTGGTGCCTCCATTAGAAACCTGTATAAATCCTCCTTTGTGAAAACTTTAGATTTTTTCGGTGTATGGCCAACGTTTTTTTCTTTTCAGAAAGGCAATTAAAGTTGCGTATTTCGAAATGTCAACATTTTCCTTCAGAAAAAGTGTCGCCTTCAGCATGGAATACTCAGCCCATAAGCTTCCAGGTGATTTTAACTTCTGATTTCGGTGTACAAAGTATGCCAAAAGCACTTTCTCCGAAACAGCCCAGTTTTTGTCAACGCACCACTTCTTAAAGATTTCAAAGGTTTTTTCGTACCGTTGCCTTGATTTTTCCGGAATCACAGCGTCACAACCAATATTCCAAGCATTTTCCAGTGAACTATCACTATTTTCACTCATATTTCTCCTTAAATTTCAAAAAAGCGTATTTGCAGCTTGCAACCGTATTGTTTGAAAGCGAGTTTTGCGTAACTAACACAAATAAACAATTTGAGAAGCACCATAACAACCATACCAACCATTAGAAACAAGTAGTCCAGCCAACTATAATAATAATAATAATTGTTATAGATAATGTGCGGTGGTGGATAACCATGGAAATAAGAGTTGTGATTTTTGGAAGCGTTGCAAATACAAAAGTTGCCAATTTTTCATTGGGAACGCGCCTTTATAGGAGGAAGACAATTCTATTTTTGAAAATGTCAATTGGATGCCATTCTATAAATTAAGTTTTTGAACTGGAATAGCCCGATCGTGCATAAAACGTAATAAGTATTTTGGGCGTTAAGTGTCGTTAACCGCCCTCGAATATTGAAGACCTCCGCTACGCGTCGGTCTTCAAACAATCTCGGGCGGTAAACGACACTTACCGCCCTTAATACTTAAATAACTATTATATCAAAACACACAAGCAATCATTACCAAACTAACACAGACAAATGGCATAGATGGGGACGCACACTTGGTCCTCTCTGTGCAGGCACTCGAGGGCTCAGGACAACTGAAAATTGCAAGAGCAATATTTGATTTATGTGTTCCTTATTGTATTATGTAAATTTTAAAGATTTTTGTGACTATTTATATTTTTATATTTTATATTTTGTGTTTGTATGTTTGAAATTATTATTGTTATATGTAGTAGTATATGTAATAATCTTATTTATTTATGACATGATCAACACCCTAGAGGTAAAAATGTAGAAAACTTGCGATACGCAGTATACTGTGAATTGTATTTGTCTTTTTTACATGATCGAATAAAGAATCTATCTATCTTAGTAAATATTTATTTAAAAAAAAGTCATGAAAAATTAGTTCCTTAAAATAAAAACAATATTTTTCAATAACCATATTTGTTCCAAGCTCCAAATAAAGAAAATAAAATAAGAATAATTGTCTGTATTATGTTCATTATACATTGCGCAATTTTGAGACCATTGAGATATCCGTAAAAAACCGAAATTCGCCCAAAATGATTTCATTTTTTCCTCACCTTTTTTGAACAGATATTTCAAAATAAATGGCACTTCATTGTTGCCACTTTTTCTCCTCTACAAGATGCCACCATCAAATTTAAAATCTGACATTTCGTCTTCAGGCCACCATCATCAACTTTATTTTTTTAAAAACGGACCTTTATTTTTTGTTTTAGATTTTATAGGCTTCTGATGTCTAAAAACCAATGACGTATTGCACTCTTTCGGAAAAATTATAGTATTGGCACTTTCCATAAGAACTAAATGTGTTAGAGAGAGACAGAGAAGAGAATTTTAATAGGAAATTATTGAAAGGTAAAAAAATATTTTTTCGAATAAATGCGATACGTC